GGCCACTCGGTGTATATAATAATCCGGCCACTCAGTGTATATAATAATCCGGCCACTCGGTGTATATAATAATCCGGCCACTCAGTGTATATAATAATCTGGCCACTCGGTGTATATAATAATCCCGCCACTCAGTGTATATAATAATCTGGCCACTCAGTGTATATAATAATCTGGCCACTCAGTGTATATATATATATAAAAGCCCCGGAAAATCCAGGTCCAAATGAAAAAAACCCAAAACAACTTTGTTCCAAGAATTGTAATAGTTCTTGTTTTGAAAACATTTGATACATAAGTTATAATAGTGATACGATGTGGTTTATATTGTATTGTTATTCAGTGTAATTATTATGTTCATTGTTCCTATTAATATAAGAGGCACATGGTTGGGGAGTCCTCTTTAAGGGCATGTTCACACCATTTTCTGGACCAGATCTGGTCCAGAAGATGGTGTTAACCTGCCCCCAGTTCCAGTGCATTCCAGACCAAACAAGATGAGACATGCAGTATTTTTCTGGTCTGGTCTGGAACGGACTGCGCTGGTGTGAACAGAGGCCAGAAATAGCATAGGGATACATTAGGATGCATTTTGGGTCCGGAAACAATCTGGTCTGGTCTGGAGATGATATGGATGTGGTAAATGGGCCCTAACTGCCCATTCACACTGGGCGTTTAATCGCGCGATTTCTGCCGCGATATTCCGCATATTTGCCGCACGATATTGCGAGAAGTCGCCGTCCAATGATTTTCAATGGAGCTGTTCTATTGTACAGTTCTATGTTGCCTGTCGCTCGTGCAGGACCCTTTATCCCATGGATGTGTCGCGATTTTTCTATTTTTGCATGCAGCCTGATGGTGAAGGCCGCGTGATCATCGCGGGAACGTCGCCTGAACAGTCGCGCTATCCCGCCGCGCGGAAATCCGCTCGAGGTAAGTGTGAATGGGGCCTTAGATGGCTGCACCCCGGGTCTATTGTCCTCCTTGCTTGTTGTCCTCCGTAGGACATTTTTCTATCTGCAGCAGGAGGGCTCTTTGCTGTGGCCTGCGTGGTTCTTTGGTGGTGTATTTTCTACTTAAAAGAGAACTATGGGGTCAGTGTTTTTCCCCATAGTTCTCCTAAGGGTCACGGGAGGA